CCTCCACCATCTCCTCAACAACCTCCACCACCATCTCCTCATGAACAACCTCCACCACCATCTCCTCAACAACCACCACCATCTCCTCAACAACAACCACCACCACCATCTCCTCAACAACCACCACCATCTCCTCAACAACCTCCACCATCTCCTCAACAACCACCACCATCTCCTCAACAACCTCCACCATCTCCTCAACAACAACCTCCACCACCATCATCTCTTTAACAACAACCACCATCTCCTCAGCAACCTCCACCACCATCTCCTCAACAACATCCACCTCCACCACCATCTCCTCAACAACAACCACCACCATCTCCTCAACAACAACCTCCACCATCTCCTCATGAACAACCTCTACCACCATCTCAACAACCACCACCGCCATCTCCTCAACAACCTCCACCATCTCCTCAACAACAACCTCCACCATCTCCTCAACAACCTCCACCACCATCTCATGAACAACCTCCACCACCATCTCCTCAACAACCACCACCATCTCCTCAACAACAACCACCACCACCACCATCTCCTCAACAACCACCACCATCTCCTCAACAACCACCACCATCTCCTCAACAACCTCCACCATCTCAACAACCACCACCATCTCCTCAACAACCACCATCATCATCTCCTCAACAACAACCTCCACCACCACCATCTCCTCAACAACCACCACCATCTCCTCAACAACAACCACCATCTCCTCAACAACCTCCACCATCTCAACAACCACCACCATCTCCTCAACAACAACCACCACCATCTCCTCAACAACCACCACCATCTCCTCAACAACCACCACCATCTCCTCAACAACCTCAACCACCATCTCATGAACAACCTACACCACCATCTCCTCAACAACAACCTCCACCATCTCCTCAACAACCACCACCATCTCCTCAACAACCTCCACCATCTCCTCAACAACAACCACCAACATCTTCTCAACAACCACCACCATCTCCTCAACAACCTCCACCATCTCCTCAACAACCTCCACCATCTCCTCAACAACCCCCACCATCTCCTCAACAACCTCCACCATCTCAACAACAACCACCACCATCTTCTCAACAACCACCACCATCTCCTCAACAACCTCCACCATCTCCTCAACAACCACCACCATCTCCTCAACAACCTCCACCATCTCCTCAACAACCTCCACCATCTCCTCAACAACCTCCACCATCTCCTCAACAACCACCACCATCTCCTCAACAACCACCACCATCTCCTCAACAACAACCACCACCACCATCATCTCCTCAACAACCACCACCATCTCCTCAACAACAACCACCACCATCTCCTCAACAACAAAAAACACAATCTCCTCAACGACAACCTCCACCACCATCTCCTCAACAACAACCTCCACCACCATCTCCTCAACAACAACCACCACCACCATCATCTCCTCAACAACCTCCACCACCACCATCTCCTCAACAACCTCCACCATCTCCTCAACAACAACCACCACCATCATCTCCTCAACAACCACCACCATCTCCTCAACAACCACCACCACCATCATCTCCTCAACAACCACCACCATCTCCTCAACAACCACCACCATCTCCTCAACAACCACCACCATCTCCTCAACAACCTCCACCATCTCCTCAACAACCTCCACCATCTCCTCAACAACCTCCACCATCTCAACAACCTCCACCATCTCCTCAACAACCACCACCATCTCCTCAACAACCTCCACCATCTCCTCAACAACCACCACCATCTCCTCAACAACAACCACCACCACCATCATCTCCTCAACAACCACCACCATCTCCTCAACAACCACCACCATCTCCTCAACAACAACCACCACCATCTCCTCAACAACAAAAACCACAATCTCCTCAACAACAACCTCCACCACCATCTCCTCAACAACAACCTCCACCACCATCTCCTCAACAACAACCACCACCACCATCATCTCCTCAACAACCTCCACCACCACCATCTCCTCAACAACCTCCACCATCTCCTCAACAACAACCACCACCATCATCTCCTCAACAACCACCACCATCTCCTCAACAACCACCACCACCATCATCTCCTCAACAACCACCACCATCTCCTCAACAACCACCACCATCTCCTCAACAACAACAACCACCATCTCCTCAACAACAAAAACCACAATCTCCTCAACAACAACCTCTACCACCATCTCCTCAACAACCACCACCACCATCTCCTCAACAACCTCCACCATCTCAACAACAACCTCCACCATCTCCTCCACCATCTCCTCAACAACCTCCACCACCATCTCCTCAATAACAACCTCCACCACCATCTCCTCAACAACCTCCACCACCATAATGTACCATACTCTACCTATCCACACAATACTGTACAATACCCTACCATACCACACTGTACCACACCATACCATACTGCACCATACCATACCATACCATACTGTACCATACCACACTGTACCATACCACACTGTACCACACTGTACCATACCACACTGTACCACACCATACCATACTGCACCATACCATACCATACTGTACCATACCATACTGCACCATACCGTACCACACCATACCACACTGTACCACACTATACGATACTGTACCATACCATACTGCACCATACCGTACCACACTGTACCATACCACACTGTACCACACCATACCACACTGTACCACACCATACCATACTGCACCATACCATACTGTACCATACCATACTGCACCATACCGTACCACACCATACCACACTGTACCATACCACACTGTACCACACCATACCATACTGCACCATACCATACCATACTGTACCATACCATACTGCACCATACCATACCATACTGTACCATACCACACCAAACCATACCATACTGTACCATACCATACTGTACCATACCTTACTGTACCATACCGTACCATACCATACTGAACAAACAGCTAACATAGATTGATAAATGTTGAAATTTAGATGAATAAAACACATTTTTCAGTACTTCGAACTTGTTCCCTCTTCTGTCATCTGTGAAATCAATTTTTTTGAATATTTGAAACTTTTTTTGTCAAGAAATTGAAACACGCCATCTGAGAGACATCAAAGAGTCCACGTGTTAACCATTATGTTATCAGCAACTTATTTCATATGAGGCATGCGTATCTCACTAATTTGTATTTAAATAACCATTATTTTAATATCAAATGTAATTTAATTTGACGAGTCTGGCAGATTCCAATTGACTAAATTCACAGATTGTTTCAATCTGATTTTCACATTCAATATTTGATGAAGAAGATAAGAAAATGTTTTAACATCCAAAACATGGCTGGAAAAGACATTTTCATGTCATAAAGAATTCAATGACAGAATTTTATTGCACTAAAATCTCCCATATGTGAGAGGGTACGAGAGTACAAGTAGAAATAACATACATACACTACACACCATGTATGTAATAAGTTGAACAAAGCTGACATCGCAGGGACATCATGGGTATTTAGCTGTTACAGTTTATCCAAACTTCTTTGGTACTTGATGTGAACGTTGTTCAATGAGGTTGGAAGAGGGTATCATGCTTTAGATGTAATATCAGTAGTGCTTATATACTCACCACCAAAAGAAACGCAAACCACAGAAACATGTAGAGAAGTATGTACGTTAAGAAGACAGGTTTCCAATGTGTACCACTTAATGACAAAATTAATAATCAGTCAAGTGTTACCACAGTGTCTTTATTCTTATCACGATATGCTGCACGTGATTTCCAAACTTTACACGCTAATCTTGCACGAGACAAATGGTGCATCTCGTGTCATGGATCTTTGGCGTCACACGTGATGCAATCATGAGTGTCGTTTCACTCAACATTCCAGTGTGTTTTTGTATCAAACAAACTAATATCTCTTAAATATGAGTAAATCTTCATATGTTAACCAACATGTATGGTATTTATGTTATTTTTGGCATGAGTATGTTTTGAAGTTCCTGAAGTATTTTACAGTGCATCATTCTCATTCAGGCGCGCGATAACCAGAGGTACAGATAAGCTGCGTATTTGCGTAAAAATACCCCCCAAAAGAATTCAAAACCCAATTACTTTCAATTAACTTGCGTACAGAAATGCATGCCGTAAATGAGAACCTCAAATGTCTATAATCAGCATGCATAAATACCCATTGAAGCTTTTTCAGCATGCATACAATGGAGCTAATTTCCGAAACATAATTACGAGCTAATTTACTTTCTGAGTCAAGCCTATATTTCGAACCCTTATATACATCTAAAACATTATTTTATTTTTTTTGAAATCTCAAAATGGTAACTCTTTTTGGGAAAAACCCAACAGAGTGATGAATAGATGAGTGAAAAAATATTGGTTACCCAATGAAAAATGTAATAACCCAATAAAAATAGAAACCTTCGAGTAAAAACTCAATTGCTCAAAAAGCAATCTGCAGCTCTGATAACTAATGATGATTTGCAATCCCAATATCTGCCACTTATGGTGGCCCATAAGAGACATGGAGTCTGTTTTTCCATATTTTGATATTTCACTTACTTTTATCGTAACCTTTTGAAAATTAACACGATTTGTCTTACAAATATGTGATAAATCATGTGTAAAGAAGATATTGAATCGCTGAAAGGTGAAACGAAAATGTCACAAACTAAAATGAAAATGTCAAAAACAAAAGTGAAAATGTCAAAAACTAAAATGAAAATACAGAAAACTATTTCCACCGCGGTGATAATATTCCCACCCCGGTGGACATTTTCACTTCACATTTCAGCGACTCAATAGCTACTTGAAAGTACATTTTCCTTGTTTTTGGTTGTTTTTATACATGATTTATCACATATTTGTATGACAAATTGTGTTTATTTGAAAAAGGTTACGATAAAAGTAAGTGAAACATCAAAATATTGAAAAACAGACTCCATGTCCCTTATGGGCCACCGTAGCCACCCTCCCTGGCCTTGCAGTACCTGCATATTCTTGTATTTCTGGGGTCCTGTTACAGATAGAAGTTCCTGCCCAGAAAGACTGAACCTTGCACTGTTGAGGTGAAAACAGAGATGAGTGAGTGAGTGAGTTGGGTTTAACGCCGCTATTAACATTATTCCAGTTATATCATGGCGTGTCAGCTTAATGTGGGAGGAAAGCCTGAAGTGATGCAGGTCTCAGACGTTTACCACTTCGGTGAAACCCACGAGCACGGGTATGGTGCTGACAAACATAGAAACATAATCGGGGCGAATCGGGATTCGAACCCACAATCATAGGTTTCAGGCGTGGCCAAGGGACGCAACTCTGCACAGCGAATTGCAGCGCCTGAGACGACTGGGCCACCTGTGCCCCCCGAAAACAGAGATGCCAGGTTTTTCAGTACCCTCATTCCCACTAACCTCATCGACACCAAGACTCTCCCGCCTGTACATGTATGCAATGCATAAATAGACACACAGATAGAAGCGTACATATTGACAAGTTAAACTATTTTGACAAAGTTGATTGTTAAAACCAACAAACTGGTCTTTCTATCATTACAAGTTAATAGAGTTCTACATTATCAATTTTTTACAAAGTGTATTTTTTTATCAGTGTAGATCTATATGTAGATGAGTTTTAATCATTAATATATAATTTCAATATTTATAATATTGAAGTAAACCATATATTTCATTAACAGAGTGATGCAGGAGAAATACAGTGTCAGCCTATGTAGCTGCCATCGCTCACATGAATTGTACTATTAAATTGTACTTTTAAATTGTACTTTTAAATTGTACTTTTATGGTGATCCTACAGTCATTGTCACAAAGCATGGTATAAATGATATGGAGGCCTTGCCGCCATCAATTCCCTTGTAATTCTTCACATGGAACATTATATCATACTGAGATTCTGACTCATAATTCAGTGTTAAATCAAGCTATACTACACAAAAGAAGTTAAAGAACACCCTATTTTTGAAGAAGTTAGGTGTTCTTTAACTTCTTTTGAGTAATATAGATTATAGATTTTTATCTTTTTATAAATTCATATGATGTATAGAGTATGGCGCTATATTCATCATCATCATCATCATCATCATCATCATCATTTGCTTCCAAAATATTATCAGTTATGTAAATAAAGTCAGGTGTTCTTTAACTTCTTTTGAGGAATATAGATTATAGATTTAATAAACATTTTTGATAATCACATGAAGTCTAGTTAGAGTATGGCACTATATTCATCATCACCACTGTCATCACCACTGTCATCATCATCATCATCGTCGTCGTCGTCGTCGTCGTCACCATCATCATCATCACCGTTTGCTTCTAAAATATTATCAGTTATGTAAATAAACTTAAAAGCTTGTAAATCCACAGTAAGTACTTTTCCCAGGTGAGTTATCATTATGTTATTAACTATTTACATGGCGTACATAAGTGTGGACTGTATGTCAGGGGTTGTTATCCCACAATGTACATTTCCCACATAAGTGCCAAGTACAACGCACTTAGCATCGCTATGTACACCAGCATCGGCCAGTACACTATATCAGCATCTGGTAAAACAGTCGTTCATCAGGCAATTATCACGATAACTTGTTCTAACCAGGAAGTGCTCTTTGGACATAGACTTCCCAGAATTCCTGGCGTGAACTGTGCCAGCAATGTCAACACTCTCTGCCAGCGGGAAGTCGCCATATTCCTTGCTAATTTCACTGACAGCTCTGTGAGGAGGTGTCGGGTTTCTCAGGAGATGGGATCCTGGACAATATCTTCACTACCATATAGTTGGTAATAGAAGTGATCAGTCAGGACAATATCTCCACTACCGTATAGTCAGTAATAGAAGTGATCTGTCAGGAGAGTATCTCCACTACCGTATAGTCAGTAATAGAAGTGATCTGTCAGTACATTATCTCCACTACCGTATAGTCCCTTATAGAAGTGATCTGTCAGTGCAATATCTCCACTACCGTATAGTCCCTAATAGAAGTGATCTGTCAGTACAATATCTCCACTACCGTATAGTCTCTAATAGAAGTGATCTGTCAGGAGAATATCTTCAGTACCATATGGTCAGTAATAGGAGAGATCTGTGAAGACAATATCTCTACAACCGTATAGTCAGTAATAGAAGTGATCTGTGAGGACAATATCTCCACTACCGTATAGTCAGTAATAGAAGTGATCTGTGAGGACAATATCTCCACAACCGTATAGTCAGTAACAGAAGAAATTTGTAAGGACAATATCTCCACTACCGTATAGTCAGTAATAGAAGAGATCTGTGAGGACAATATCTCCACTACCGTAAAGTCAGTAATAGATGAGATCTGTGAGGACAATATCTCCACTACCGTAAAGTCAGTAATAGATGAGATCTGTGAGGATATCTCCACTACCGTATAGTCAGCAATAGACGAGAACACTTGGGTAAACAAGGGAGACTCTATTACCATAGGAAGCTTTCTTTGAACCACTACGGTAAGCAAGGGAGGCACCACTCTGGAGGTGGGGGATGGCACCATTAGGAGGGAGGGGGGGGACCAGTTGCAGGTGGGGAAGTGTAGCTACTGATGGAGATAATTAGGATACCAAGTACACATATCTCTTTCAGGTGAACATGCAACATAAATAATTGTTTTACACCCACAGGTGGTGTTATGATGAAGCTGCGGCAGGGGCTGCACTGATTACTCCAGCATGGCCATACACACGGTCTTGTCTGGTCAACCCTGCCGCTAAATTAGCCATCACAAGACCAACCCTTTGAAACCATGACCACTTGTCAAAAGCTCATTGACATGCCAGCTTCCTAATTGACCTTTATAAAGCTAATCTCCTTTGAAAAAGACACTGCCTGTCGAAAAGTCAGACATGTTTTTTTTTAAATCAAAGTCTTTTTGATCCTTCTTGTTCCCGACACAAGGGTGTTTTGTGTGCTAAATCTTCTATTTTAATGCTTTTTTTCTTTTCATAGCTACATTCTTGTTGAAAAGTAATTTGAATGTAAATGTTAATTGTCCCTTTTATGTGGAGTGTTTGAGTGCATTTCTTTCTTGTTTTTGACACAAAGGGATGGCTTCTTATCAATTTGCCTTACAGAGCACCAGAGCAGGGATACAGAGCACCAGAGCAGGGATAGAAAACATGCACATAATGGAGGAATCATCTTGACATTTGTCAAGGGGAACTATTTCAAATATTCTTTTCATCACATTTAGCCATGTCTACTTACACTTTCTGTAGTTTGTCGGGAGAGGTAAGTGTAACAATTTAACAGTGATCAGTAATTTTGATAATACAGCTATAATCACACAGTGACCAGTAAATGTTTTTAGCTATATTACAAAGTGACCCATAATATTTCAGCTATATCACACAGTGACCAGAAATATTACAGCTATATTACACAGTGACCAGTAATATTTCAGCTATATCACACAGTGACCAGAAATATTACAGCTATATTACACAGTGACCAGTAATATTTCAGCTATATCACACAGTGACCAGTAATATTACAGCTATATTACATACTGACCAGTAATATTACTGCTACATCACAAAGTGACCAGTAACTTTACAGCCATATCACAAAGTGACCAGTAATATCAGAGCCATATCACAAAGTGACGAGTAATATCAGAGCCATATCACATACTGACCAGTAACTTTACAGCCATATCACAAAGTGACCAGTAACTTTACAGCCATATCACAAAGTGACCAGTAACATCAGAGCCATATCACAAAGTGACCAGTAATATCAGAGCCATATCACAAAGTGACCAGTAACTTTACAGCCATATCACAAAGTGACCAGTAATATCAGAGCCATATCACACAGTGACCAGTAACTTTACAGCCATATCACAAAGTGACCAGTAATATCAGAGCCATATCACACAGTGTCCAGTAACTTTACAGCCATATCACACAGGGACCAATAATATTACGGTACGCCTACAGCAGCCAAGAGGTAATTCAGTTGTTGTCTAACCTTTCTCAATGTTTGTCATTTAGTTAACTATTTTTATCAACAATCTTTCAGGTTGAGTGATCTCTAATGTATACCCCTTTCGGCTCCTTGGGAGTTTGATTGACTAACCAATTAATTTTCTTTTTCCATAAAAAAAACAATTGGGCCATTCACACTTTTTTTCCAAATTGGCTGAAATTACAATGCAACCCAGAACAGCCAATGTCACAGATTTCATGTTGTTATTCAGTTTTTGTGTGTATTTTTGACATAATTATTAGGTTTATAAATGTAAAAACCTGGGTGCAGACTGTATTTTTTTTAACGTTTATACCTGCATAAATGCAAAAATATTGACGTCAAATTACCAGTAGCGCTAACCATACTGGAAAAAGGGAGCTGAAAACAAAACAGTAAATTATTGTGTGTCTAATGCATTTGTCTGTTCTTGGTTTTGTTTGTTTGTTGTTTCACGCCGCACTCAGCAATATTCCAGCTATATGACGGCGGTCTGTAAATAATCAAGTCTGGACCAGTCAATCCAGTGATTGACATCATGAGCATCGATCCACAATTGGGATACGATGACATGCATCAACCAAGTCAGCGAGTCTGACCACCCAATCCTGTTAGTCGCCTCTTACGACAAGCATAGTCACCTTTTACGGCAAGCATGGGTTGCTGAAGACCTTGTCTACCCCAGATCTTCAGAGGTCTCTGTTCTTGGTCCTCATACTTGTACTGAAATTTAAGCGTCTGCCTTACCGTTATCAACACATGTATGCAGTCATACAGACCCTGCTTCAATAGATTCTATGGCAATATTCTTGGCAATACCATGTTAATCCCATACAGTGAATGTGAAAGGCTTCTTTCAAGTGGTGCTAAAAAATAATCTTTCAGGTTCAAAGATGAGGTCACTAGAGTTGTTTGTTGTGACAGAGTTATAAACCAGTACTCTGTCAGTAACACAAAGCTGTTGATGAAGCAGAATGGTGCGCCATCTCCACACCTACCTCCTCGATTCCTCACCCCAACACGTCATCCATTGTTTAAAAGTGTGGTGTCTGTGTTTCTGCAGATAGTCTCATCAGATGGAATCTGGAAAGAAATCAGTAAATAAAAAATACAGTTATACCAACAACTGAATCTGATACATATCATCCTCAAAAACATCTTCCCGGGGCAAGGGAGGTAACTGACTTTAAAGTCCAGTTTCCACGTTTGATGAACTAGGCTGGAATTTCGGGGCTAAATTGTAGCACCAACAGTGGCTATTACGAGTTATGTCCCTTCGATGTCCCTCCTACTGAATAATCTGATTCCACCACTCATATCACTTGCATTTGCTCAAATAAAATGGCGGCGCCCAGTGAAGATTATCTGATCGTTAATCAAGTTCTATGTTGTAATAAAACGGGTCTTACTTCGTGAAGTGCATCAAAACAGGTGAGCACCTTGATTAAAAATATGAAAAGATTTGGAAAATACATATCTGATGCTGAGGTGGCGGAACACATGCATTGCAAATCCTCCAATCAACCCAAATCTGCACAGCAGTTTGGATGCTGATTTCGTTATGCGACTTGGATTGGACTATGCAGTTGACTTGTTAATCTGGACTTGTTAAACAAAATGTGACTGTTCTGAGAACAAAATGTGACTGTTCTAGGAACAAAATGTGACTGTTCTAAGATCAAAATGTGACTATTCTGAGTACAAAACGTGACTGTTCTGAGTACAAAACGTGACTGTTCTGAGAACAAAACGTGACTGTTCTGAGTACAAAACGTGACTGTTCTGAGAACAAAACGTGACTGTTCTGAGAACAAAATGTGACTGTTTTGAGAACAAAATGTGACTGTTCTGAGAACAAAATGTGACTGTTCTGAGAACAAAATGTGACTATTCTGAGAACAAAACGTGACTGTTCTGAGAACACAAGCAAACAAAGAGTGAAGCCTAACCTGGTCCCTCTTCACCATGGCAAATGAGAGTGATTGTTGTGAAGGACAGTTTTACCCTTTGTAATATTATCATTATCATTTTGGATATGAAGCGAAATTACCAAAGGGCACTGACCAAGAAAGTCAAGTCAGGTCACTCTCTCTCCCACTTGTGCAATGAACATTCATTTGTTGGAGCACAGAGTGAGTGAGTGAGTGAGTATGGTTTTAAGCCGCTTTTAGCAATATTCCAGCAATATCACGGCGGGGGACACCAGAAATGGGCTTAACACATTGTACCCATGTCGGGAATCGAACCTGGGTATTTGGCGTGACGAACGAACGCTTTAACCACTAGGCTACCCGACCGCCTGGAGCACAGATGACAGCAATAGATCTCAGAATCATGAATGAGTGAGTAAGTTGGGTTTAATGCCGATTTTAACAGCATTCTGGTCATATCACGGCGTGTCAGCTTATTGTGGCAGGAAAGCCCGAAGTGATGCAGGTCTCAGACGTTTACCACTTCGGTGAAACCCATGAGCACAGGTATGATGCTGACAAACCTAGAAACATAATCAGGGTGACCTGGGATTCAAACCCACAAACATAGGTTTCAGGCGTACCCAAGGGATGAAACTCTAAAGCCCATTTCCGATGTCCCCCCACCATGATATTGCTGGGATATTGCTAAAAGCGGTGTAAAACCAAACTCGCTTATAGTTTGAAGGCACTATGGTACCCAATAACAAAAGAAATTCTTTATAAGAACAATCCATATCTTCATGAAAATATGGTGATGAACTTAACTTCATTAAGTATTTTTTCTATCTTTTTAAGGTCTTTTGATAAAGCTAATTGAAAAAAATAAATGTTTTATATTCTCAAGCTCACTGGCGTGGTATTGATGAAAAAAGTTCTGAATGTGGCCGAAAGTCTTCATGGCTTCCAGATGCCAACGAGTAAAAGAGTCACTTTCATGGGCAATTTTACACAATGAACAACTTATTTCTCCTCAGTGGGAGTGATGAAAGAAAGGGGCATCTGACAAGTGATTTAAAAGGTTGCCCAGCATCTCCCAGCATCCCCAGCGCGTGCTCAGTGGGAATCTCTAAGGGGCCATGCTAACGATATATTAAAGAGACGAAAATGAGTGGTGTCGTAATGAACCATGAGGTGTTTTTCACCTATAGAGTCAATGTTAACAGACATAGACCAAGCAATGGGGTATTTGTTTCTTGGGTGAACAAGCTCAATTGGAATCCTTCTCAGACCAAAATAGATATCCCATTTTATCATAATACCATGTCCAAAATTTACATTTATAAAAGCATTAAGTTCATCTTTAACAATTCTTTTTTAGTGTACATGTATATGATTTTGTGTAAGAATTTAAACTGAAAGTGGAATAGTTTTGTAGCTTTTGCTATATTGTTTATAAATACATGTTTCCAACAAATTTGACTGTTAAATTCTTGTTCCCATTTCTAATATAATTCAGGAAAAATAGCATCTCCCTGAGGCAAGGAAGTGAACTGATTGAAAATATTCAGTTTCCACCCTTGCCAAACTAGTGGGAATTTCTGGGCTAATTGTAGCACCACCAGTGGCTATTACAAGTTATGTCCCTTCTATTGACCAATCAGAATCCACCTCTCATATCACTTGCATTTGTTTCCAAAAAAATGGCATCGCCCAGTGAAGATGATCTGATCACTAATCAAGATCTATATTGTATTAAAACGGGTCTTACTTCGCGAAATGCATTAAATAATGTGAGCACCTTGATTAAAAACATGAAAAGATTTGTAAAATATCTGTTGACACTAAGTTGTTGGTACACATGATTTGCAAATCCTGCAATCAACTGAAATCTGCACGGAAGATGTTGATTTCGGTATGCTATTTTGACTGGACTATGCATAGACTTGTTAGTCAAACCCAAACATATAGTTTCATAATTGCAGCCTAGTTCAGCAAGGGTGGAAACTGGACTTTTACAGCCAGTGAACTCTCTTTTCTTGGGAAGATGGATGATGAAATATAGGATCATAATTCAGCTGTGTCTGTATGATGTTAACTGTGCCTGTCTGATGTTAACTGAGCCTGTGTGATGTTAAATGTGCCTGTGTTATGTTAACTGTCTGTATGATGTTAACTGTGTCTGTATGATGTTAACTGTGCCTGTCTGATGTTAACTGAGCCTGTGTGATGTTAAATGTGTCTGTATGATGTTAACTGTATGTGTATGATGTTAACTGTCTGTATGATGTTAACTGTCTGTGATGTTAACTATGTCTGTATGATGTTAACTGTGCCTGTGTGATGTTAACTGTGCCTGTGTGATGTTAACTGTGTCTGTGTGATGTTAAATGTTCCTGCGTGATGTAAACTGTGCCTGTGTGATGTTAACTGTGCCTGTGATGTTAAATGTTCCTGTGTGATGTTGACTTTGCCTGTAAGATGTAAACAGTGCTGTGTGATGTTAATTTTGCCTGTGTGATGTTAACTGTGTCTGTATGATGTTAACTGTGCCTGTATGATGTTAACTGAGACTGTATGATGTAAACTGTGCCTGTGTGATGTTAACTGTGACTGTATGATGTTAACTGTGTCAGTGTGATGTTGAGTGTGTCTGTATGATGTTAACTGTGCCTGTGTGTGATGTTAACTGTGTCTGTGTGATGTTAACTGTGCCAGTGTGATGTAAACTGTGTCTGTGATGTTAACTGTGCCTGTGTGATGTTAACTGTGTCTGTATGATGTTAACTTTACCTGTATGATAACTTTACCTGTGTGGTGTAAACTGTGCCTGTATGATGTTAACTGTGTCTGTATGATGTTAACTGTGTCCATGTGATGTTAACTGTGTCCGTATGATGTTAACTGTGTCCATGTGATGTTAACTGTGTCCATGTGATGTTAACTGTGTCTGTGTGATGTTAACTGTGTCTGTGTGATGTTAACTTTGCCTGTGTGATGTTAACTGTGTCTGTATGATGTTAACTGTGTCTGTATGATGTTAACTTTACCTGTATGATGTTAACTTTGCCTGTGTAATACAAGAAAGAAGTGAGCAAAGCTTGTTATCCCCGCTGGTCAACAACAAATAGTAAATAGTTTGTTAATTAATGAAATATTAGATATTTCTAACTGATTTTAACTTCAATGTTTTTAAAACTATGATTGAGTTCCAGTGACAATTGACACCCCCCCCCCCCCAACCCCAACCCCAAAACTCCCCCCCAAATCTCCCATGTTACCAGTGTTCACTACGAGGAAGTAGATCACCATGAACACCTTTGAATTTTCACCATGATTCCATGGAAACGGCAAAAATTAAAAAGATCAGAATATTCAAACTAGCAAAAGGCACAAGTACTCATTGTGGTAAATGTGTGTAGCAAGTTTGGTGAAGCTAGGGTGCATGGTTAAAAAGTCATGGGCCGTACCAAAGCTCGAACGGAAGGATGAACGGACGGACGGACATACGGAAGGACAGACGAACGGAACGCTATATACCCCGATTTACTTCGTAGACTGGGGTATAATAAACTGTGCCTGTATGTTAACTGTGTCTGTGTGATGTTAACTGTGCCTGTACAATGTTAACTGTGTCTGTGTGATGTTAACTTTACACATGCCATTAATACTCCAATACAAGGAATTTCGAAGCCTGCTATATCAGGAGGGACAGCTTGCTACAATAAATCACATACCTCTTAGAGTAAACAAACCACATTTTCAAAATATACCAAATTCTAAACAATGTTTTGAACTAATCACTATAGCTATTTAACTAAACTATTTTCAACATGTAATACATAAATAAATGTGAGTTTTCTAAATCTGCGAACCCGTTTAACTCCAAGCATATAAAAAACATTTGGATACAAGTACATGTATGTTACAGCAAATGTATGTTCGGTTTTAATTAAAAAACTTGAATTGCTGCCAATATACATCTTGCTATTTGAAAGTAAAACAGATTCAAACTTTGGTATTTTAATTGAAAATATGCATCTCCCAAGAGAACCTAATTTAATTACAAAAACTATTTGACAGCGGTAATCTTGACCGAAAATGAACAACCTCCCGTTTAACTAGCACCCCTATTGGCACCCCTCAGTCCTATCAACACTCTGTTCTGCCATC